TTCGGCGTACAAAATACTGTCACGCGTTCTGTTTAACAGATTGAGACCGCTTGAGGAGTCCTTCGTCGGTGAATACCAGGCTGGTTTTCGTGAGGGCCGATCAACGACGGATCAAATGTTTACCCTGCGTCAAATCCTTGATAAATTCCGGGAGTACAACTTGCAGACTCACCATCTGTTTATTGATTTCAAAGCAGCATACGATTCAGTGAAGAGAAATGAGCTTTGGCAGATTATGCTAGAACATGGTTTTCCGGCGAAACTAATTAGACTGATTCGCGCAACGCTAGATGGATCGAAATCAAGTGTAAGGGTTGCAGATGAGATTTCGACCTCGTTCGTGACCTTAGATGGATTGAAGCAGGGTTATGCACTTTCAAACTTACTGTTCAACATTGCTCTTGAAGGAGCGATTAGGAGAGCTGGTGTGCAGAGGAACGGTACCATCATCACACGATCGTACATGCACCTTGCCTTTGCGGACGACATCGATATCATCGGAATTGACCGTAGAGCAGTGGAAGAGGCGTTTGTGCCTTTTAAGAGGGAGACGGCGAGGATTGGGATCACGATAAGTTCTACCAAAACGAAGTACATGGTAGCCGGTAGACAGCGTGGGAGCAATAGTGGTGTTGGTAGTGTAGTGTTGTTAGATGGTGAACAATTTGAGGTAGTGGAAGAATTTGTGTATCTTGGAACACTAGTGACATGCGATAATGATGTTACCCGCGAGGTGAAGAGACGTATTGCAGCAGCAAACAGGGCCTTTTACGGATTACGTAGCCAGCTGAAGTCCCGTAGCCTGCAAACAAAAACGAAATTCGCTCTGTATAAGACGCTGATACTTCCGGTAGCCCTCTACGGCCACGAATCGTGGACGTTAAAAGAGTCTGACCGGAGAGCATTTGGTGTCTTCGAGCGTAAGGTGCTGCGAACAATACTCGGCGGTAAACAGGAGAATGGCATCTGGCGGCGTCGCATGAATCACGAGTTGTACCAAGTGTATAACGGTACGGATATAGTGAAGCTTATAAAACACGGCAGACTACGGTGGGCTGGGCATGTAGTGCGGATGCCGGAAGAACGACAAGCAAATACTATATTCAGCAGAGAACCCGGTAGAGGTCGTCGACTCCGGGGTAGACCTCGGACACGTTGGCTATTTGCAGTTGAGGAGGACATCAGGTCGCTAAACGTTCATGGCGACTGGAAGCGATTGGCTCAGGACCGAGTCCAATGGAGAAGAGTACTTCGTTCGGCGTTGAATCAACCTGGCGATTCGTAGCCCATCAAGTAAGTATCAAGTATACAACCGACATAGGGACAATATACCAAAATTCATAAAGAGAGCGGTACCAAAAAATTAGGACAGGTTAGGGTATAAGTACGTTCGAGACTTTTACTCAGGGGTCCACGAGAAAGTCATATAAAGTGAATTTTCACAGTCCTAGAAAGTCTTGTTGCACAGTGTTATTAATTATTCAAGTTACTGATGTCTTATGATTATGCTCAATCAACTGTTCAGCAGGCAACATTGGTGTTTATGGCGCGTAGAATAGAGGACAAAAATCATGGCTACTATGTCACACTGCAGAATACAGTGTTGCCCACAATACAGTTGCTTAATCTTGCCATAATATTATCAACCTCTTGAACAATTAATAACTATTTAATTTGACGTTTGGCTGAATAACGATTTTCTGCAAAATTGAAGCTGATAAAAATTCCCATAAGAATAAAAATAGACCTTGTTAACAGTGCAATATGTAAAAGGCTAGAAGACAATGAACAAAAGTTTTGTTTACCCATAGTAATTTCCATATAAACATCAAACGGTTTGTGTCAAGTCAGTTTCTTATCAAATTAGTTTAAACTTTCGAAGGCTAATCAGGACCCGATTTGAAACCGTTTGAACTCTGTGGAGCGAAAATTTCAAAAATTTCTAAATATGCAGCCATTCCATAGCAAAACGATATAGTAGTTCGGGGCTGTCCATAAACTACGTAGACAGTTTAGGAGGGGGGGGGGGGGTTGACAATTATCCACGGCCCATACAAATTTTAAAATTTTTGTATGGACAATTGTCTACGCAGGGGGAGGGGGGGGGTCAAGAATCCCAAAAAACTGTCTACGTAGTTTATGAACAGCCCCTTCTCAGAATTTCGTATTTTTTTAGTTTTTCCTTATCGCGAAATATTAGACAAGTAGTTTTTATTTTGTCATTAGGGTGACCATTTCCATATGTTGTGTAAAAAAGCCTTAATTTACAAAGAAAAATATAAAAACACATTGCGCCCTCTGTCTAAAAATACAATCAATGTTTTTCAATACAAAATCCCATTTTTTTAGCATCGATGTATTTTTTCCTAAAAAATATTTTTGATTATCTTTTGTTTGATGTTTTAATCTTTGAAATAGGCCCATTGGTGCAAAAATTATGAATTTATAAAAAAAAAGTAATTCTTTGAAAAAATCGATTTTCGGACCACCCTTACATGGAAATCGTCACCCTAATGACAAAAAAACGGGTCTATATATGTTGCAATAAGGAACCAAACTACCAATTTTTACGAAATCTGAGCGCCACTACACCGTTTTGGCTGTATAGCGAGCTTTGACAGTGGGTTTTGTGAAGCTTTTTCCACAAACAAACAGACGTAACTCTTTGAAAAACTTGTTCTTGAAAACATAGTATCTCAAAACATATAACCTCAGTAGCGACATCTATCTGGCTTCTCGCGGAAAACAAGCTTGCTCGCTAACTCGTAAACAATATTGCATAAAAGTTCTATAGAATATATAGAAACGTCAAAGTGATCCGATGCCAGCGCTGCGGCGAGTAGTTCGCGGAACTGATAATATTCAAGTCAACCGTTAAATGCATGAACGAAGATACACAATGAAGAGTTACGTCTGTTTGTCTGTGCTTCTTCTAAGTATCACAATACCCAAAACCAGTATCTGTCGAGCGAGTTGGTACCGCTATAAGTGCCTAAGCCTACCTAACGGAGCGTCTGTCCGTTCACTATAGAGGTAAAACTCTGACAGCGTCTAACTGGCATTCAACGGATGAATAAAAAGTGCTTATCTCCAGAAGCCATACCAAAGAGAGCAGCCCCAGCACGGTGCATAGAGCCAATCAGTACACTCTGCACCTCTAGCACCTTGAGGTTCATCTGAACTTCTCTGGGAAAACACAAATGTTTCTGTGCTTCTCTGAAGCTCGCTGATCTTCTTTGAAAGTTATGAACCTGTTGCAGTCATGACAAAGCTTTTCAGTTCGGAGGAGATTCGGAAAGTTAGGACGAAACTCAGCGAACTTCGACGATTTTGGGCGCACGTTATAGAAATGACAAGGTCATGGAAGTTCTAAAAGGTTTTCAAAACAACAGGAATTTTGGGACTTCAGAAACATTCAGGAACCCAATTGCATTGAAGAAATACAGGGAACCTCATACATGAATCTACATTCGATGATTTAAAGAAAAAAAATCTGAGCAAACAGAATGAAGTTGACAAATTATTCAACAATTCTGAAAATAATTCTTGGAGTTCAGTAGCATTCAATCCGTGTGATTTGAATAATGTCTGAGAGTTGAGTCGCATTCTGGTTCATTTAACAAGCAATCAATCATTTTACAAACAGTCCCTTTTCAAATTTTACGCGAGATTTTTCCAACACAAACAAAAACGAACATCTGGCAACCCTGGCGGCATCGCGACGAAAGACTGTATGTGCATGTGTGAGAATGTGAATGTGAATATGGCACTGCTTTCGAAAAAAACGGATCCAAAAAAACATGGTAGGCGAACTTGTTCCTCAACAATGAATTCGTTTATTGTTTTTATTTTTGTTTACTTCTTTTTTTTTTAAAGCCAAGAACATGTGTCTGTGTTCTACTATATGAATATATATATATTTTGTTTTTTTTTTTTGTTTTCGTTTAATTCTAAATATTTGTTTTCACTATGATTTTTGCTTTTCTCGTTTCTTTCAACAGGATATCGTTTAGTTTTTTTTTTTTTTTTTGATTCAATCAATTGACAAGCAATGGCGGCGAGGGTGAAATTATTGTCGATTAATGGTTGCGCTTTTCTAAAAATCACCCCCTAATTTGTGTGATTGCACTCTTTTGTATTGTTCAGGTTCTTAATTTTTCGTTGTCAGGCAATTTTTTTAGCACAAAGCATAGAACAGAAAACAAATAAAAATGAGCAAAATGGGCGGGAATGGCGGGGAGTTAAAATACCAACATGACTTAGAATGGGAACGAAAACAGAGTCGAACTGCGTTTCGCCTTACAAGACTTATGTATGGCACGACAAGCAATGTTCTGATATCTTTTCAAGCAAAAAGCAGTTCCATACTTTCTATTGTGTCAAACTCCTATCAGTGTGTTTTTGTGTTTGCGCGATCGACCACATGCTGTTAGGTCTGTTCCTATAAGTGTCTCTAACTTCGTGCGTACCCCCATCACTGAAGAAAGCTCGCCAGTCTTATCACCGAGCAGCGAACTGTCATCCAAAAATGGAGATACGCGTGAAGTAATCCCTAAATTGTCCCTAGTTGTGTAAGTAGGTATTTCTGTTATGGAACATGTACTGCAGGATTCGGGTTATGATCAAAATTGATTAGTAATGGTTTGCGACCCTCGGGTACAGGATTTGGCAGCGGTTACCGCCGATTTGCTTGCTCTGTTTGACCAGTTCCAAGGCTTTGCAACGCACCGGCGAAGCCCTGCGGGACAGTCTAGTAACTTTACCGGCCTGTTTCCGAAGGAGTTCGCTAGACTGCTGCTGCCGTTCGTCTGAGCTCGTCGTCCAGCAAGCTTTCTCACGGGCCTCTGCCGAATCCTGTACCCGACGATAATGATAGACAGGTCGCCGGGATGTGCGGAAAGAAAAACAGCAAAGAAGCAGGTCCAATTTGGGGCCAAATCTCGTGAAAAGCTGCCGAGCGGGTGCTACCGCCGGCTGGCGTAAAGCGTTTTGTCAATTACCTTCCTTCTTCTCGACAGGAACATTGTCCTCAGGTTGAGGAGTAGGCGAACGATCCCGTGGGTCTCGTTTTGGTGTGGTCGAACGGGACCGGGACTTGGACGAGCGGTGCCTTGGAGGCGGAGCCGGACTGATTGCACGCGGATTAACCGGTGCTGAAGACGACGATGAGTCAGCTATCGGAGACGGTCCGGCGCTGACCGTTTGCTTGATGCGGCGCCAGATGTTCTCAAACGAGTCACGGCCCATGTAGTCGATATTACCCGATTCCCAGCACTGGCGGCGCATGTGCTCTTCGTAGGTTTCCTGCTCGACGGACTTTGGCTCGCCGAGGTGTAGGTGCGCCAGCGCTCCAGCAAGGCCACTCTATAGACGGGACGATCGGAAAGAGAGCAAAATAGGGGAGATTGATTTCAAGGCGACTGTGTAAGGTGAACGGAGTTCCCAAGATGAATGGATACTTTTATTTTTCGGATGACCTTCGTGGGTGAACGAACGAACACACTCTCTCTCTCTCTCTCTATCTCATTCTCTTTTCAGATGAAACACGAAACATTCGGCATAACAGAACACAAATTTTATTTGTTTGGATGGATTGGTTTGATTGGTGTTTCCCGGTTCCCGGCGGTAACATGACTTACATACATAGACGGTTCCTTGCAACACGCTTTGTTTATGAATAAATTCTAGAGACCTTTTTGACGTTTAATAGTCTTTCTCTATCTAGCACACATGGATGAATGAACGGATTGTTTTCCCACTAATCTGTTTACCTTTTGCTCGGACTTGTTCGATTTAAATGGTGCAGTAGTGTGCACCGACTAAACGTCAGAAAGCTCTAGGGAGTAGCTCGAACGGTTTGAAGGTTATGATGTACTCTATTATAGCGAATTTGTTTTTGATTCAATTCCAACCTGAATCGGGCATCAAGATTGGGTCTGCTTGTTGTCTGTCAAACGTCAGTGTGAACGTTTGTTTTTGCAACTTGGCTCGGGTTGAGGTTCACACTAACAATAAGCTTGTCACACGGGTTGCTATGCTTGGATAATAAACAAATTCGTTATTAGACTCCACTAGCACTAGATTTTTTCCGAGAGCGAGCGACCGGAGAGAGCACGCACACATTTTGAGAGATGTGTGGTGTGCATAAGAGAGCCTCTAGCTCCATGCAGTTCGGATTTTTGGTTTTAAAGCATGAATTCTCAAGCATTTCGCTCCAAACGACACTTAGGCTGTGAACCATTTGCCGAGTTAAATTTAACTCGTGGTTGAAAGTGACATTTCAAAAGTTATTCTGTAAAGGGTGAACACGAAATTATTGCGACACATTCAACAGGGCATAAATTTTTTACCATTGGGTAAAACTCAACCAAATTTTGCGCACTTTCTCATTGATGTGTATTGTGTACATGCTGTCAAACTCGAAGTCGTGTTTTTCGATTCAACGAAAATGGAGGTGAACCAACGCGAGTTGAGAGAACAAATTCTTTCCAAACACCTGGAATTTCCTGACCTGTCGCACCGGCAGTTGGGAAAAATGTTGAACATTCACCATTCAACCGTCTCCAGAGTGTTGAAGCGGTTCCAGGAGCGGTTGACGTTGGACCACGGCAAAGGAGCTGGAAGAAAACCGGGACTGGAGAACAAAAAGACGGAGGGAAAGGTGAAGCGGATGATTAAAGCAAATCCCAACGTCTCAAGCCGTGATTTGGCTAAAAAGATCGGCATGTCGCAGAGCTACGTCCAGAATGCAAAGAAGAGAGCTGGACTACATACATACAAGGTACAGAACTTCCCAAACCGCGATGAGCGGCAACAATCGACGGCTAAAACTCGGGCACGGAAGCTCTACGAGAAGATGCTGACAAAATATGGCTGCTGTGTGATGGACGACGAAACGTATATAAAAGCCGATTTTAAGCAAATTCCGGGGTTGGAGTTTTTCACCGGCAAGAGCAAGTTCGATGTGGACGACAAATTTAAGAAGAAGAAAATGTCGAAGTTCACCTCCAAATATCTCATTTGGCAGGCCATCTGCTCTTGCGGACTGAGGAGTGAGCCTTTCGTGACAAAGGGCACAGTAAATGGCGAGATCTACAAATCAGAGTGCCTCGAGAAGCGCCTTTTGCCGTTCTTGCAGCAACACGACGAAGCTCCGCTATTTTGGCCAGATTTGGCATCATGCCACTATTCTAAAAGTGTCCTGGAGTGGTATGAGGCCAATTCTGTCCATTTTGTTCCAAAGGACATGAATCCGCCAAACTGTCCGGAGCTGCGCCCGGTGGAGCAGTACTGGGCAATAATGAAGCGGGAACTTCGGAAGAGCAAGAAGACAGTCAAAGACGAGAAGGACATGTTAAGAAAATGGAGAAAAAACTGAGAAACTGGTACCGGATGACACTGTAAAGACTTTGATGGAGGGCATCAAGCGAAAATGCGTTCAATTTTACACTCAAGGCTTCATCGATTAACTTTTCTTTTGATTTTTGAAGTAAATATATGTATAAAACTACCCTAAAATTTTGGTTTGATTCTAAACATTATAAGAAAATTGGCATGACATTTTCGGTGTCGCAATAATTTCGTGTTCACCCTTTATGTTCGAAAATCGCTGTGCTGTCGATCGACCGGTTTTCGAGAAGATCTCAGGCACGGTTGTCAAAATTTAACTTCTTGTCGGTCAGAAATAACCACGCTCGGATAGCAGGGTTAATCGATAACTTTCCATCTGTCAAATTTTAACCAAAGTTAAAATAATCCACCAAATGGTTCAGAGCCTTAATTGTTTTGTCCCAACAGTAACGGAGATAACCCAAATAAACCTCAATCATTGCGACACTGCACAGCTGTTGTGCAGTGCAGTCGACAACGGAAACAAAGTGCGACGTTACGATCATTGCGGAACCGCATTGAGTCCCTCCCGATAACGGTAACTAGGTGGCTGATAGATCTGGGATGACTGCAATACAAGTTATGGGCAGGTACCCCATTCAAGAAGAAGGTTACGTGAAGGTTACCGAAGAGCTGATCGAACGAGGATCGGTAGTCATTAGAGGAGACTTCAATGCTTGGGCAGTGGAGTGGGGAAGCAGATGTTCCAATGCAAGAGGGCACAGTCTGCCGGAAGCTCTGGCAAAGCTTTAAGTTGTGCTGTCCAATAAAGGCACCAGCAGTACTGGCAGTACGAAGGACAAGAACTTGCGACCTGAAGTGGAAGACGAAGGCTTTTGACTAGGATCCTTTTATGGAAGCACACCATGTGGACAGGGGCCCTGCGGATCTGAACCCAGAAGAGCTGACAGAAACGTTAGTGAGAATATGTAAGATGACCATGCCGAGGAAACTGGAGCCAAATAACAAACGGCGTCCAGATTACTGATAAAACGAGGCACTTTAGGCAGTTCAGAGAGCAAGCACAGAAGCAGACAGAGAGAAATGTAGAGGAATGTTCCGAGTGGCCAGGGCCGCTCTGCTTAGTCAAACTGTTTCTAGAAGCTGTGTCGAGACGCTGATGCCAACCTCTGGGACGACGATTACCGTGTCGTGATGGCAATGATCAGAGGTCAAACGGTACCCGCTGAAATGTGCCCAGAGAAGCTGAAAGTCATCGTGGAACGACCCAACGACCTGGCCACCTACACCATACAGAGAGGGATAAGGAGATAACGTCGAAGTTACTAACGAGGAACTCGTAGCAGTGGCGCAAGGAAGGAAGGTGAAGAAAGCTCCCGGTCTGGATGGAATCGCCAACGTGGCGTTGAAAGCGGCGATCCAGTGCTAGTGTTGCTGCCGAAGCCAGTAAAACCGCCGGAGGATCCAGCAGCGTAGGAGCTATATGCCTGCTGGATACATTTGGAAAGCTCTTGGAGAGGATCATCCTAAACAGACTGACGAAATGCACGGATTTTCGGAGAGGCAGTTCGGATTCCGAAAAAGGAGAGCAACGGTGAATGAAATTCAGACAGTGATCGAGAGAGCCGAGAAGGCGTGGAGAAGATCTATATTCATAACCATGATAACAATCGACGTCAAGAATGCGTTCAACGCACCAGCTGGGAGCCATCGTTGAAGCGCTGCATAGAACGAGTGTCCTTGACTACCTGTGCAGGATTCTAAGAAGTTACTTCCAGAACTGAGTCCCTGTCTACGACACAGACAAGGGATAGACATCAATTAGCATCATGGGGGAAGTCCCCCAAGGCTCCAACCTCGGTCCAACGCTCTGCAACGTGATGTACAACGGCGTGCTAATGCTGAAGCTGCCCAAAGGAGTTGAGACGTCGTCTTGGCGGTACCAGGCAAGACACTGGAAGAGATGGAAATGTTGGCGACCGAGGCAATCGACATGATTGGAAACTTGATGCAAGCAGTAAAGCTGCAGATAGCCCACAACAAAACGCTATCCAGCATTTTATGAGCGCTTATGGCCACCACAATCTGGCTGAGTTTTTGGCAGGGAACATATGATTTGACGTTTAGGTTGTGTCGTTTGACATGTAAACGTTCAAATTTGATCGTTTACACGTCAAACGACACAACCTAAACGTCAAATCTTATGTTCCCTACCAGAAACGCCACCAGATTGTGGCGGCCATAGGCGCTCGTAAAATGCTGGATTGGTCAGTAGCTTTATAGCAGTGCAGCGGACAGATATCACCGTTGGGGTTAACGCCACGACACGCGACGTGACGCGACCAATTCAAAAGAATCTTATTATTATTTATTATTATTTCTTGTGTGAGTCGCATAGCGTCGCGACGCGGCAATAACCTTGAAGCGCGTGTTGAAATACCTAGGAGTGATTGATGATCGACGACTACAGCGTTTTTTCCGTGATGCAATTTGATGAGGTACACCCTTTATCTACATATCCTGCTCTAATGGATGGTTCCCGTTAGTTCAGAATTCACTCATCTGGCGGCGCTAGTGTGACATTCATTTTGATTTGTTTGCCCTAACTTAAGATGAATCGCTATGGAAGCCCTGTTTCTGATTAATCTCATTATCACATCGAAATTTCTAATGCACAAATATCAGCTATTACTAAACACACAACAATGAAATTGGTACTCCACGTTCGCTACAGTGCAGTAAACAGGAGTAGCAATTTCATGCGCATCGCCGCAACTATGTCCGAGATTTGTGCGCTACAAAACTTGAAGTGATAGGACATATCAGCCATCATGACGGCCATGTTTGGACTCTTCAAGGAATCACCTTAACATCTTGACTAGATCAGTTGACGTCTACTTTTCGTATTGAACAGACGCATTTGAGTTTAGAGCAGAGTGAAAACAAATTAGTGTTTTGAGCCACTGGACAAAGTTCGAAAGGCATCGCGCCTAAAGGTGCGTTCCCCGTGGAAT